AGTTGAAACTATGGTTGAGTCTGTCCATGTGTTGTGAGATTAAGGAGTTTTCATCCTGTCTCCTGACTGCTACTTGGTGTTCATGGATGCGCTCTGCTAGTCTTCTGCCTGTCTGTCCTACATAGTGGCTGTTACAGTCCTTGCATTGTATATTGTAGATGACTCCTGTCCCCCCGCCCCCCTTGGGCTACTGGGTCTTTTGATTTACTTAGGATGTTTTGGAGAGCTTTCACTGGTTTGTGTGCTATGGTGATGCCATGTGGTTGTAATGGTTGCTTCTGAGATGTTTTTGATTATTGGATGTGTTATCCTTTTCATAGCTTGTGTTGGTTATGCTGTAGTGGGTTGAGTGGTCAGGCACTTTTTGATAAGTGTACCCAAGTGCACTTTTTGATCTTGATGTACCCAAAAAGACTAAGCTGATGGTGAACTTGGTTAATGCTTAGATGGGAGACCACAAGGAAAGCTTAGGGCTATAGGCTAGACTGGGAAATTAAAATGAAATAACTAGGGAGAAAGTATTAGAAAGGTACTTTTGGTTTGGACAGATAAGATAGTGCTATTCAGTCACTGTATTTTCTCTGGGATGAAAGTATGGGAAGTTTCTGATTATTCCCAGAAAGTTGTAACTAAAAAGTATCTCTTAAAAAATAGGCAATATAGTTTAGGACCATTTCACTTCCATGCACTCAAAACTGGCATAAATGGTACTAAATCTTTCTAAGCAAACTCAGAAATTCTGACTGGGTCATTCACATAAGGATCCCAACTTTCTTTGTGTGATAGTGCCTCTTTAAATATAAGAACAATACCAAGGCCAGAAAAAAACCCCATATAAAATATTTTCCATACCAGTACTTTAATATCCAAAGGGTACTATACTTATTTTTCAATTGGGAAAGTAAGATTTATAGAAGAGCAGTAATCTCATTAGACCCATTAAAGCTACATTAGCTGCTATAATGCCAAAACACACATAGGGTTTTTTGGGGGGGAATAATTGTGACCTTAAAGAGAAATCCAGTAATTGTTTGCAGTTGTTATTCTACAGAGACATAATGTACTATAAAGTACATTGCAAGGTCATGGATATAAGATTAAAAATAACATCAGCACAGTATGGATTAATCATATTGGAAGCATCTAGATGAACGCTGTAGTGCCAAAAAGCCTTCCAGCTTCCAGGTTGTAAGCCAATAATTTTAAGGATTTTATAACACAGACATCATCAACACGTTAGCCAAGCTTTTTGGCTAGCGGCCTTCTGTTAAGCTAGCCCTATCACTATTATTTAAAAAAACTGAATGCCTACAGTTTCAGAGTGTCTTTCCTATAATTGCTATAATTAAAAGGCTGTTTCAATTAATTGAAAACTTATATACAAACACTGAAGCTTCACCTGCATGAAGATAGTCAGGCAAGAGCGTCTCCGGCAAGGTGTCTGGCAACAGGTAGCCATTCTTCCGAGCAACCACAAGGTGAAAGGCAGCACAGAACTCTGCTAATGTCAGTGCTCCATCACAGTCAACATCACTAAGTTCCCTGCACATAAGTTAGTTATTATACAACCATATTTCAGAGAACCAAAAATTGATGCTACACCACACTTCACTCATATAGATCTTAACATTTAGACTACCGTAATTTATAATTTTAACAAAAATAATGTTTTATTACAATTACAATTATAAATGACAATTGTAATTTATAATAAAAATAAACGGTAATAAAATTACAATTAAACTATTGTAGTTTTTAAAAATTACATTATGTAATAGCAGTTTAAGTAATTTACATTGCGATGTTTATTTGTACAACAAGGCAAGTTTAGAAATGTTGTAAGATCCAAAAAAAGTTGAAATGGGTAATTCCAATACGAGCTAAACTACTACTGTTTTAAAGAATCAGGATATGATTTCTATTTAAGTGATCACAAATTATGCAATTTGGTACTTATATGTTATGCATTAATATGGATTGTATGTTCGATACTAATTAGTTTTCATATAACAAGCACAATTAGAAGTGAAGCTTATGATGTTAACTATTCCGGATGTACATTTATTTGAACTTGGTTTAATGTATTATACTCTTAGGCTCATTAAAATATTCTTTAGAACATTTTTAGACTACAGTGCTATTCAAATTTTGTTAGGCCGCCGAAAAGATAAAAGCATAAAATAAATATTAATGCGCTCTCTGCTTTGCTTGGACCTCAATGCGAGCAATTACTGAAGATTTTTTCTGTTGCACTGGTTTTACATACATACATAGAAAAAGACACACACAGAAAGATAAAACAATATTCTGAATTACAAAATAGTACTTACCATATGTGTGAAAGCTCAGGGATGGGCAGTTTAGACTTTGTGAAGAAATTCTTAGCCACAGAACCTGTTAAAAATTATGGCCAAAAAGCAGTAAAATAAATAACTCAGCAACAAATTTTCTACTGGGATACTTCTGATACTATTTTTAAAAAAATGAATTGGTTTACAGGTTATTGTCTGCTGTTTATATTAGCCTAGTACACTGTTTTTGTTATTAACTTGAATAGCAATTATTATAATTTCTTGCGATCATCAATATTTTATTGTTCAGAAAAATATTTTGAGGCTTCTGAAGGACAGTCTTAATCTGTTGTCATTTTTGTTGTTGTTCAGTCGTTAAGTCATGTCCAACTCTTCATGACCCCATGAACCATATTGCGCCAGGCCTTCCTGCCCTTCACTGCCTCCCTGAGTTTGCTCAGTTTCATGCTCATTGCTTCACTAAATGCTAACACTAAATACCTCATTTGTTGAAGGATCTTAAGCAAAATAGAATTTGAAATTATATTCTGTATATTTTCAAACTATAGTTAAATACTACCTGGAAATTTGTACTGAGCCTTTGCTGCTGTCTCTGTGTGCATGCACGCGCGCACACACACACACACACACACACACACACACACCCTATAGGGAAAGAATATACTGTATGTATGTATGTATGTACATACCATATATCCATACTATAAGTGTCCCCCAAAGTCTGAAAAATTATTTAAAACAATAAAGTTAATAATGCAATAACAAAAATTAAATAATGATCAATAATAAAACCTACAAAAAGAGTACAATTTGAAATATAATAAAACTTCAATAAAAACATATACTGAAGTATCAATACATCATATGGTATGAAATGACATCAACCTTCAAAGGCCCTATGGAACAGCTCTGTTTTAACCACCTTCTGAAATGTTGCCACGGTGGCTGTTCCAGTCTGATTTCAGGAGGAAGGCTGTTCCATAGGGGTTTTGCCATCACAAAAATGGACCTTCTCCTGCCCCTCACTGACTGGACCTTACATGGACCGGATACCTTGAGCAATTCCATTTCAGCCAAGAGGACTGGGCATATTGTTTCTACTTGAAAATCCCACCGATTTCTTTGGCCCTGAATCTATTTATTTATAAACATAAACCTCTGACCTACTCAAAAGACTTGTTTAATATATCTGAATGCCTTGCATTTGAATAAATGCCAATTGTGGGTGCCTATATTCCTATGTGTATCCAAAAAAACAAAGCCATCTCCATGATGAACTCACAGACATATTTCATAAAGTTTTCTTGGAAACAATATGAATGTGGATTGCCCTTGACATCTGGGATTTTTTTTTTTTTAATTTCCATGTGCATGTGTGGAAGCAAATGCTTAACAATTATTTTCAATACATACTTTCTGATCTTAATCAAAAGTAAAATCCTACAAAGGAAATGAAAATTCACTTTTATCAGAATACTTAAATTCCAATAAGAGGTAGACAGCAATAATAAAGCCTAAAGCAGACAGATTTTAATTTAAAATGCATAACTTTTTTTATGAGCTACCAGATGAAACTGAGATTTCAATGAAACAGTTTTCATATACAGTTTTTTATTTTATAGAGCCAATTTAAATAACCAAGGATATCTGTTTGTTTAAACTCAGCAATAGGACTGCAGCAAGATGCATATTACTTCACAGGACCAAAGTCTAAATACTGTCAACAGTGTAGAAGATCGATTCCTAAGTTGATTAGGTATACACATCATATTAATAGGACTAATAAAAACTGAAGCATGCTGCTCCCTTTCCTTCTACCTTGACATTAAAAGCCTTTTCCTGATTTCATTCAACTACAGTTTGCCATAATTAATATTGGGAAATTACAGTTTCAGTACTAGTATCGAATTATGTTTTTCAATTCTGTTTTGGAGGAAGCTAAGTCCACCAGTACTTCATTTTTTAAAAGAAGGTTATTTTTCTCATTAAGCAGCAATAGCTTAAATAGCTTGGAAATGCATTACTATTTTATTCATGTTTTCCTATCATAAATTATTATTATATTATTATTATTATTAGACTTGTACCTCTGAAGGGAGAACAAACGTGCTGTGATGTGTTAATATTGTTATTTATAAACTATGATTTATGAGAAAAAATATTACAAAAAATGCAAAATAGTAAAATAAATCCATAACTTTATATATTTAAAGTTATGAATATTTAAATATTCACCAGCATTCCAATTTAAGTAAATAGGACCTGAAAGTATTTAATTTTGTTTATATCACACCCCATATGTTTTATTGAATATTATACATTTAAAAGTAATACAGGATTTATTCCAAAATCACCTATGTATTTATTTATTTGTCTAATTTATAAAGATGCCCATCTTTATAAAAAAATAAATAATAGATGGGGAGATGTTAATAATAATGGGGCCACTGAGGTCTCCAGACCTGCTGACATAACCAGGTCTTGAGGGATCTTCGGAAGCTCAGAAGTGATGAGGCCAACCTCACCTCAGAATGTTGAAGATCCTACAACACGAGTGCAACAGCAGAAAAGGCCCACCACCTAGGGCCTGCCAAATGTAGCTCCCTAGACAACAGAATTCATAACTCTGCTGGATCTGGTGGGACAGGCAGATGAAATTGTGGAGAGGCAGTCCCTCAAATAGCCCAGTCCCATGCCATGAAGGGCTCTAAAGGTCAACACCAGGACCTCGAATTGGACTGGGAAACAAACTGGTAACCAATGCAGCTTGCGAAGCAGAGGCATAATGTATGTTCTACCAGAAACACACATAACTGCTCGCGCTACTGCATTTTGCACCAGCTGAAATTTCCAGATACTCTTCAAGGGCAGCCCCATGTAGAGCACATTGCAGTAGTCTAACTGGGAGGTGACCAGGGTATGAGTTACTCTGAGTAGGGCCCCTCGATCTAAAAATGGGTGCAAATCGTGCACAATATGAAGTTGTGCAAAGGCCCTCTTAGCCACAATTGCCATTTAGCCACAAGTCACAAGTCCAGGAAGCCCCCAGATTGCACACTGGGTCTGTTTGGGGCAGTGCAACCCTATCCAGCACCAAAGATGGTATAGTTCTAGAATGGGAGGGCCTCAAAACCCAAAGCCACTCAGTCTTGCCACGGTTCACTGAAGCTTGTTGTTCCCCATCCAGATGCTCACAGCCTCCAGACACCAGGATAAGACATCCACAGCATCACTTAACTCATCAGGACTGGAGATGTACAATTGGGTGTCATCAGCATACTGATGATACCTCATCCTATGGTGACAGATGAGCTCATCCAGCAGTCTCATGTAGATGTTGAATAGGAGAGGAGACAGCACCAACCCCTGTGGCACCCCACACAGTAGAGGCCGAGGGCAGGATCTCTCCTCCCCGATGACCACCAACTGGAACAGACTCTGGAGAAAGATGAACCAGCACAACACCATGCTGCCCACCCCAGTCCTCTGAGTCTATCCAGAAGGATACCATGGTCGATGGTATTGAAAGCCACCAAGTAAGGATGGATGCACTGCCACCATTCCGCCCACACCAGAGATCATCCAAAAGTGCAATGAATGCTGTTTCCGTCCCAGGTCTGAATCCTGATTGAAAAGGATCCAGATAATCCACTTCATTCAAGGAACTCTGAAGCTGTTGTGCAACCATCTTCTCAATCATCTTCCCCAGAAAGGGGAGGTTAGATACTGGATGAAAATTGTCTAGTATCGAAGGGTCCAGCGATAGCTTTTTGAGGACGGTAGACTCCACCAAGGCAACTTCTCCAGACTTGAGCAAGGCCATATCTCCCCATGCCCATCACCACCATAATTCTGTGGCTCACCCATTTCTCTTTGCCTACTTATCATTCAAAGTTAGATCAAAATCAACAATAAAAGCAATGCAATGATAAGATTAAAACTAAAGCTAACAAAATAGTGGCTTTATTCTGAGTCACTGTTCTATACATATTCTATGTATGTTTGCTTGGTTTATCGGCAATTGCAAATCAATTTTTTTTTTTGTAATAATCTATGGCGTCATAATTTACGTACTTCTTTGGCAGAATATGATCTTTATTACCTGCGTAAAGCATAAACAGGGGAAATTCTAATTTCTTTGTGCTCAAATATTACATTGGTGTTAAAAAAAACTCTTTGATAGGACAATATATAACTCCAATTATTGTAGTAAATTACATTTAATTTCATGTAAATAATATATTTACCAATATTTGTATGTTTGTTTATTACATATCAGGGAGCCATGTCCTATTTGTTGTGTATAGCCCATCACCACCCCTATCAACACACACACACACACACACACACACACAGCTACACATTTTGCACTTTATCTATATGAATTTTGCTGTACTCGTCCAGGCTTCTCAGTCTAGTATTCCTTTCTGTGTACACAAAGGATATTACCTGAAATGAAAGAGTTGAGATCAGGCTGTAAAGACTTGAACTGATTGATGTAATATTCTCGTTGTTCCTCAGTAACTCTCCAGAGGTCATCTGGGTAATTACTACTGCTCTCCTGCAGTTCTCTTTCTATTGAGAGAGACTTCAAAAAAGAAAAATGTTTTATTTGGAAGGATAACAAAAATGCTGAGCGTCCTGATGTTTCAAAGCATTAACTGTACTCTGTTCCTACTCTGCCATTCTTTTAAAAATAGAGTTAATACTTCTGTTGAATTTACAAAACATGTTCTCCAGAAGCCATACATATCCATTGTCAAAAATGAGTGCCATGGATATTTAACAAGTGTAAACCTTTCCAGTGAAATGGTTTACAAACTAAGGAAATGAAATCTACCTATAAGGTAAAAAAGAAAACTTCTTAAATAAATGGCTAACAATCTTCACATTTCCAAACAAGGAAAATAAGACCTGTTCCAAATGTATTACAGATAAATGGTTGGACTCATTCTCAACAATAGGATGGGGAAAGATCAAATCCCGCCCAAAAACTCTAGCATGTAGCATTCCCTAAGCAAGCACACCAGAAATAAATAATTCACAAATAGAGGTTGCTTTTAGATGCCCATTAAACTCTAGTTCTATCAGTACACGAACATTAGAATACCTAAGAAGAGAAGACATGAGAAAGGGGAGTAACGAGAAGTGATTAAAAAAAAACCTATTTTATTTATTCATTTATTTGAATTTATCAGCCACCCAACTCCAACAGACTCTGGATACACCTCCAGCTAAATGCAGCTTCAACTAAAATAACCTATAACAGTGAAGAATAACGTTAGATGTGCAGCCACAAAAACCTACATAGATTAGTGTTAACACTTGTGTCCTTTCCGTCTAAAACGTTTATGCTGTCTATCTAGCAAAATTTTGAAGATTGTCCTTTCCTTGTTGCAAGTATTCATATCATAGTAACACATGGTGCACAGTGACACACACTCTTGGTTATAAATCTGTGTTTGATCATTGTGAATTAAATGAAGTTTTTAGTTTTGGCATCTTGCATACATTAATTACCGAGTGTAATTTCTAGGAAAAATTGCCCTTGATGCAACACACTTCTTTCTGACACACACAAATGTTTCTGTTCTGTAGAAACATTCACTTACACACAGCCACACAATATTTTTGGATTTTTTTTTTACAAGCTTGTCATGGCAGCATGAACTCTCAAGGTAGTGAACATTTTAATTGATTTAAGCAGTTGCCAATAAGAAAGATTTGGAAGTCTGTCTCAGTCTCAGCCCTTTGCCTTGCCCACCTCTTGCCCACTTCCTTCATACCCAAAGCACTGTGGGAAAAAGGTAGAAAAATGGTGACTGGAGGTAGATGGAAAGCAAACTAAAATATCTGGACTTGGTCCAGCACTGTTATGTCTGCTCTCCTACCTGTCAATCTATATATCCTGATATGAAAGCTAAACTAAATAAATAAATACTTATTCTGTACTTAATTAGTTGGAACAAAATCTCACTTTACCCTCTAGCTGATCCTATGTCTTCTATTGTGGTGAAATGCTTCCATTTCTCACATATTCTAAAGCTGAAAGCTTATAGTAGGTCTCAGGTATGGCTTACTAGTTGTACACCATAATTGTTCTTTGCTGCAGAATACTACTAGCAACTTCCTACTGGCTTCATTTAAGACTGGTTCATGTATTATTGATTATAGAATCAAATGTTATTTTTCAATACTATTTTAGCCCACACAGATTTATTTTCAATTGTTTTTTGCATCTCATGGAAATTACCCGAATGAGAGATGAATGAGTTGGTGCTGATTTGGACCCATAACTCCCTGAAGTTAATCCATCTTGAATAGAATGTCTAGCTTCATAGGAACCTATGAAACATTAAGAGGAAGAAATCAGAACATATGCTAAACCAACATAAAAAATGGCAATCTTTGTAACTTGCCTCATACCAAAATAATTTTATAACCACACACATACCCACACAGACATTTAAAACTCACTTTATTATCACAATCCATCATCAGGCCTGATAAAGATTAAGGAAAAAGTTAATGAAGAAGGCTCCAACAGTAAAGAGAAAACACAGGGGTTTGATTCAGTATTTGTGAAAAGCAATGAAGAACCACTCGATGTCTTAAGATATCAGCAAACCATTTAAATTATGGAAAGTGCTCAGACTTATAGACTGGTGTACAGACACCTTAACTTTGTAAGCACAGCAGCATAGCCACATGCTCTACGATAGCCTGGTTTGCATATAACAAGTTATAACATGGTTTGTTTTCAGTTTAGCAGAATATATAAATCCTCCCCTTGTGGCTTACTATTCTTTGCTTGCACAACCACATTAATAAACTGTTTTAAAACTTGGCTTATTATCTGTAACACAACTAAGGCTACTGGACCTCTGAGCTGACGATTATCTGTACTGATTGGTGATGATCCTCCATGATTTCCAATAGGGATCCTTCCCAGCTTTACTAGAAAGTTCCAGAGACTGAATCTAGTATCTCTCAGAACGCCAATTTTTTCTTTTTCTTTTTTGCCTGAGCTCTAGTTAAACCAGGTTTGCAACTTTCTGCAGGAGATTCAACCAACATTTTTCATGTTCACTCAATGTTACAACAAAGATGTCTATTGTTGTCATTTGTGATAAAAAACAAATAATCAATATGCTTTTACATTTTTCTAGCAGTTTTTATTTTAATTAAAAATGCTTAAATAACCTTGTCTTCAGTTTGAAAACTATGGGATCTTACCGCTGAGAAGAAAAAAAATAAGCCATTTTTATTGTAACCAATCAATCAATCAATCAATCCTAGCTTAATACAGCCATACAGTTAAGACAAGTAAAACAATTTTTTTTTTAATGCAGCATCAAATGACCAGAAGGCCTTGCACAATAATGTACTATAAATTTATAAAATCAACTTCCTTTTTATATTTTATGAACTGGTTGCAACAACAGTATATCATTTTTATACAGGTAAGTAATTTAAAAAAAAAAATTACAAAGCTGCTTTTTCAACATCAGGGCACTGGTCTACCTAGCTAATATTGTTTATTCTGACTATCACATTTCTAAGAGTTCAAGTACAAGCTTGCCAAGCTCCATTATAGTGGACATGCTAGATATTTCTTACTGGAAGCATAAGAAAGTAAAGTATATGTACGTAAAGTACATGTTTTGTTATTGTTCTCTGAACCCATTCTCCCATAATTATATATTATAATATCAAATACAAGCTGCGTAACCTGTTCACTTTTCAGCTTAAACAATTTTTCACAGTTAAAAATACAGGTCACATAATTGAAAAAAGGAAATAATACTGTGATAAAAATATATTCCTATATAGCGTGATCCTTCGTATCTTACAAGAAGAAATGCAACTTTTTCTTTCATACCAACACATTTCAGTGACACAGAAAAGAGGAAGTTGTGCAATCAGTAGTTATTGCAGCCAGAGAACAGATGAGATAGTTGGATCTGCTCATGAAAGGGTCTTTTGCCTCGTTTTCAAGAACCTCCTTTTCCACACATCATTCCTTCTTCAGTTACAGCCTACTCATTTGTAAACATTATTTTTGGATGACTGGAAGGGCTGCTATGCAAGGGTGGGAAAGAAAATAATTTCAACCAATCCCAGTGTATGTACGTATGTATTTGTGTGTATAGATAGATAGATAACTAGAGAGAGAGAGTGAGAGAGAGATGGATTTGGATACAGACCATATGTTAGGAAATAATCCTTCATACACCATTCTTGAGTAAATACCTTCAGTGTACTATTTTAACACAAGGAAAAAATGACTGAAGGCACTGATATGTCTAAAAAACAGGCTATTTAAATCTCAGCTTGCCTAACCAACTGTGGAAGTGGCTAGACATTAAAATAACTGTTTACTGGACATAAATGTGTTTTGCAAAGAATAACACACGTGTAAGATTACATTCTATATTATTTAAATATATAAATATGAAGTGTGACCACATTCTGCAGATGTCTGTCTACAATTTAGCAATATGAAACTAAAATTGTTGAGTGGATTATAGAGGGGATTTTGTAAATGACTGGAGAATATATTTATATTATTAGTTTTGTTATTATTAGTGTATATTGTAAACCAAAATGTTCCCAAGATCTCTGACACAAGTTTTTAAAGGTTCATTAGAATATGATTGTATATGATCAAGTCGGGCATGAAATATTCTAATTTACTATGTGAAAAGCATGAGCTAGAATTGGTTCCATTCTCTAGGTGCTTAAACTCCTAAACAAATCATGCAGTCCAAATTTTTTCTATCTGTGGAATCTGACCCTCCCAGGAAGGTTGCAAGCAACTAGGGCAGGTCACAAACATTTTAAAATTTTGCCTCTGACATGCTAGCTCAGAAATTTTGCATACAGGTGGCCCTTGTAATTCACAGAGGTTTTGTTCCAGCATAAAACGAGACCTAACAACTGGGAAGTTAGGCTGCATATGGTTGTTTTCCTCCTCCCATAAGCACTTCTTCCATCCATACAGGTTTTCTGTGCAATATATTTGTATTCATTCCTCCTTGCTTGGTTGTGGCAATCTCGCTGAGTCAGCCCAGCTGCGAGGCTCCACATTGCTTCCTCACAGCAACTGGCCTTCCAGAACAAGAGTGATTTTTCAGCTGCTGATAGGGGTGCTAACCTTCTCATGCCATGCGGTTGCCCTACTGCTCCACATAGCTCCCCCTCAATCTTGATGAAGGGGCCTCTTGATCACGCCTTAGGGTAGTGCTGCTTGTAGACACTCACAGCAATTGCAGCAAGCTGTAAGTGTCCAGTAGATAACACTAGCAATCAGTGGCCTGAGTAAACGACATCACCGCAGGCTGCTTGCAGAGAATACAAGCATCTAGCAGCCCAATCAAGGCATCCCACCGGACACTAGTACTGCCTGTATACCACTCATGGCTCAGAGGTCTTAACACAACTGAAATGGACAAAAGTCTAATTTCTACAGAATGTGAGGATGCCTTTTGATCATGTGACATTACCAAATATTGGCGATCTGTTGACACTGACCACTGGTAGTTCAGTTTGGCTTACTCACTCATAAACATTTATTTATTTGCCTTAAAAGTGGCATGGTATGTGTTTTTCTTGTCCAGTTTTAATCCCAAAGAAATCATTAGTTATTTTACAGAGAGAGTTCCACCATTTCATGTATAATTTGAGGGGACTCTGATTATGCAAAGTTTGAGAACCAACTTGGGGTTCCATTAAAATATTGAAAATATGAATAAGAATAGTGGTTTTACATAACAGTGATGGCAAAATGAGAATTATATAAACTTGAATCACATAAAAAAACCAATTTCTTAGATGATGCTTGCACCTATTTAAATTAATTTATAGGAACAGGAACAGAAAATTATGAGAAGACCCATTTAGTGCTATTTCTTTTTAATATATTTATGATAGGAATGATTAACCTGACTCTTCCATTGCTCTGGTGATCAGATGCCCCAAAGCAAAGTTAATCATTAACTTACCTCCATGCTGCTGCTCAAGCCCACTTCTCAATATACTATATCCATATCCTGAAGGAATTCTCTGGTAATTTGAGGGAGACGCAGGATGAGAACCAATGGGAGACATGGGGGGAGATTTCGCTTCTTCCTTCAAGACAAAAGTTGTAATAAGAAATGTAACAAGGTCATTGAATTCTAGTTAGTTAACAGTCATAGTCTGCAGAAAATGCAATACAGAGCTTGATCTGAAATAAATTTTAGTGTTTTTCCTAACCTGATTCTTGGCAGTTGAAGCAAAATAGTTCATTTTAATGGTTCATTTATTTATTCAATTTATATAGCCACCCATCTCAAACACATGACTCTGGGCAGCTAACAATGAATAAAAATAAGATTAAAAGCCAGTAGGGTTGGGGCACGTGTAATCTCCAGGGAAATGATGTTCCAGAGGGTGGGTGCCACAAAATAGAATAAAATTAAATGGTAGAATAGTTGAAATAGAATGGTACTTAATACTGGACAACCTTTTGTTAAGTGATAAGTTATGTCATTATTTGACACCTCACAAAAGTTGTTGACGCATTTAAATTTCAACCTAAAGCTTCCACATTAACACTTTGAACAGTTGTTAGTAAGTCTTTATAGTGTCATATAGGCCCAGCAAAAGCACTATGTGAACAAAAGTCTGCTTGTATTAACACTTTCTTCTCTTTCTCCTGACCCTCCCCATGAACCTTGTGAAGGATCTTTCAGTCTACTACAGTAGATTTTGAGGGTGAGGAAAAGAGCAATCAATTCTCTCCCAGTTCTACTGACAAAAGCAGCTCTATTAGAGTGAATACTCTATTGAATTTTGCTCCAAGTGATTTTCCACATAGCTAATAAAAGCTCCTTGTACCTAATAAATAGCTAATAAATAGCTAATAAATAGCTCCTTGTACCTAAAAGAAAATTGAGCAGCTCATCTGCTTAACATGGACAGCAAGTTGTTCATCTTTCTAATAGCTGAGCAATCTTAACTCTCTAAGTGAAGTGTAGACAATTCATATTTATTCTTGATAGTCTGCAATGAGTAAATAATCAACTGTAATTCCCAGTCTGTCAAGAGACTTCGCCAATAAAATGAATTAATATACTAATCAAGAAGATCTATTTGATTTTGTCAGTTTCATATCATAAAATTAAAAGCTTGTAGTTTATCCTACAATAAAAGTTATATATTTAATGGGAACTTTACCTGTTTTTCTTCTTCATCTGATCTTCTGAAACAATTTATCTCAAGTGTTGCATGTGGACTCTGAAACTTAGTTCCATGTGCTTCTGGTAGATTACTGTACCTTATTTCACTACCACTTTTCAGAGCACTAAATCGAGGTAAAGGTAATTCTTAAACAACAGAAATAAATACAAAAGAGAGGTGATTAAATAATACTATATTGTTTAGCCTATTTATTGACCAGTTGACTCCCTTTGACAACTAATGGAGTATACTTTTATATTACTTAGAAAATTAAAATTTAGTATAGTCCAAATTACTAGGAAAATACAGAGAGAGAGAAAGAACATACAGAGGTATTTCAATGCAAAGATTAATATATGTGTGTGTGTGTATACTGTAAAAACTGTGCATTGTACTATAAAACAAACCCAATCAACCTCTATGTAATACAAGAAACTCAAACATCAAAAAAGATTTGGTAAGCTACCTTATGAAAGAGTCAATTATTATACCCACGGTACTCTGTGTGGACCACATATTATATGAACCACCTGTATTTACTCATATAAATAGTATTAGATTTTGTTTTACTGAAAAGTCCCTTGTTCATAGGTAGTTGTTCTGTTTGGACCTTAGAAGGGCGTGATACAATTATGCATATAGAATATTCCATAATGCAAGAATGGCAAAAACAAGAACATATTATAAGAAATTGACCAATTGCTTCTATGTCTGACCTGGCTGACTTCCAATATCTAGTGAAATATTTACTGCTGTATCAAACTCACCCTTAGTGCAGATTTCTTACATAGAAAGATGTTTATAATAACTATTTGTTACACTCTATTTAGAGGAAAACTATTTTGGATTACAGTTCCTAATACATTTATAAGGATATAAACCCCATAAAACGTAACAGGAGGCAAAGTACATATCCATAGTCTCACACTATTAATCTGGTTCATTCACTGTAGATTAGCAATGTTAATGGAAATTATAGTTTCCTTTTGAAACAATGCATTTATATAATGGTTTGGAGCTAGTGTTAATGAGACTTTAGGTATTTGATTATAATAATTATAATTAGGCCCATAGTAATTGTTTTATAAATGAAATTTCCATTTTTCCTCCATTGTAAACGGCATATTTTATTCTAATTTTTATCACAGCTATTTTATAACTTAGCAACTTCATAAAAATTCATTCTGCAGTACCATAAAACTTTGCATACAATTAGCAACTCAACTTGGATGCAAAATTAGGCCATGTAATTTAGATTATGGTTCGAAAGCTAGATTATGAACACATATTATACCAATTGGACTGATTGTTCTTACCTGCATGGACCCAAATTAAAGGACTAGGTGAACTTTTAAAACTTTGGGGACTAATTTAGCTTGATACAAGTTATCTAAAGTTCTGCCTTACAGGTAGTCCTTCCTTAATGACCCTAATTGGGACCGGAATCTCTGATTTTAAGCAATGAGGTCGTTAGGCGAGTCATGTGACTGTGCCACTTAGCAATGGCAGTTTCAGTAGTCCTGGTTGTGGTCATTAGGCGAGGATCGCACCATTGTTAGGGGAGGACCTCACACTTCTCCTGCTTGCTTCCGCTTCAACTCTCCCTACCTATCTCTCCCCATCTCTGCCCCTCTGGCCGCCCTGCACTCCATTATCCCTGCCACCCTGCACTCTGTTCTCACCCCCTGCCCTGCACTCTGCCACCCGTCACCCTGCACTCCACCACACTTGCCGCCTTGCACTCCACCGCCCCTGCCACCCCTCTACCCGAACTCTGCAGCCCCTGCCGCCCCCAGCTCACCTTTACTCTCTTCTTCCTCCCACCGCTGATGAGGCTTGCCCAGCCTGGCCCTTCAGCAGCTGCCTCACGAATGGTCAGGCCATGCATGCCTGGTCAGCAGTGGAAGGAAGAAGACAGCGAAGGTCAGCTGGGGGCAGCGGAGTGTAAGGTGGCCAAAAGGGCAGAGATAGGGGGTAGATAGGCAGGTGGAGGGAGTTGAAGTGCACCCTGCATTTATAAATGCAGGGAGGCTGTCAAGCACCCAAATTTTCATCACATGACATGGGGGCACTGTAATGGCTGTAACTTTGAGGACCGGTCGTAAATACCATTCATTCAGCGCTATCGTAACTTCGAACAATTGCTGAATGAATGGTCAAAAGTGAGGACTACCTGTAATCCACATCAATCCACCAACAGCTTTAGAAATAGTTCTATATTTGTGGAATAGTTTAGTGAGTGATACAGCTTTTTAAAATTCTACGGTCTTACTTCTACTGTACTGAGCTTTCATAAACAGGATTTTAATGAGCCTGAATTCATAAAATATATAGTTACTTTTTAATACACTGAGCATTATTTAGCTTTTATTGAGATGGATTTTTTTTCTGTTTTTCTTGTTTATTATTTTTTTTCCCCTTACGGTCATTTATATTGTAAATTCTCCAACAGTGCTTTGAAAATGTTTTTTTAAACATAAAAAGTGGTGTATACATATTTTAAATAAATAATGCAATACATTTTTGCAAAGTAAAGCAATTGAGTCTAATTAGTTACCATTCTGAATACTTTCTATTCGTACTGGGAGACCAGCCTGTGCAGCAGCTATAAGCTTCAGAGCAGCATAAAACTGAGTACGACCAAAATAACCAACACGTTTAGCACCACACAAGTCTGTAATCTGAAAGATAAAAAGGGAGGGATAAATATGAGCACATGCCAAAAATACTTGGTGCTTGCAATTAAAGAAATATTGAAGCTACAAAAATATGTAGTACTTAAAAAAAAAAGTTGGCAGCAAATAAACTGGTGGTGCATCTGGTCTACATTCTATACCCAAAAGTCTGCTATATTAAACAGAGAGACACAGACGAAATCCTCCTATATAAATATTTTGCCCTTTTGGCTCCAATCTCAGCAACGTGCAATATATCTGTGGCCCAACCTCAGAGAAGTGAATCTGTCTAAATAGGGCAACCTAAATAAGTACCATGGGCACCTGCAGGATCTTGTTCCTTTTGTCAAAATGAGGAAAACAGAATCACACCAGAAACTCTGCTCCTTTGTACACATAGGCAATATCACCATGTACAGTACAAAAGAAGGGGCTTACATGCAATGCTGCAAAGCTGCTTTTGTTATTCTGCTCCTCCTCTAATGGACACTGCTGATCATTACCTAGTTGGAGCATATGGAAGAGTATGTCCATACACATGAACAAGCAGAAATGAAGGTCTACATTTTCCTCTCTAGTTAATGGATACATAGGAAAAAGATTTCCTCTGGTGGAGAACAGATAAACATCACTGGACTGTAAAAAATATTTCTATTCTCTCTTTAAAAAAATAATTTCAAGTTGGAAGCCCCAGGTGCCATCTAGGAGCATTGCAGAAACTCTGGCACCTGCTTTATGCCATTTTCTGTATCTGAAATTCTAGATTCTAACTCGATTATAGCAATCTCAACTGTTCCTGTGAAACCCACTAATTTATACTAACAGAAGCAAAAAATGCTCAGTTCCAACCTTGGTATTCTACTATATAGACGCTGTCCAACAATAAATCTTCGGTTATGATTCCCAGTCACTATCAAGGTTAATTTTTAAGTCTGGAATTCTGAAAGCTTGTTAAGGGGATTCTCATACAATATCTATCATGGTGGATGTATCTATTTAGAAAACTTCCGTTTACCGGAAGATAAACTGATGATTTGGGCTCCTAACACTCTGCCTTCTCAGGATGCTCTATACCACCACAACTTTCCATTATCTTTTTTGGCTTGGCAGATAAACATACTTTAAGATATAGCATTGAATTTTTATAGCTCCCCTGTAAGAAAGTAGCTTTGAAGTATAAATGAGGTTAAAAAAATATAATTGGAAACAAATATTATGCTTGACTTGGCATTTTGTTTTACAGCATGCTCCCTTTCCGTTTGATGGTTTTAAATGTATCAATTACATTAGGGAAGGCTGCACATTCTCCTTACGTTTAATTAACACAGCCAATATATTATAAGAATGGCAGATTGCAATAGAGGACAGCTGGAATCAAAATTGAACGCTAACAAACTAAACATTTGAAATATTCAGACAAACAACTCTGTAAACTGAAAGTAAAGACTTACAAGTAAAGTCTTTACAAGAAAGTAAAGACTTACAATTCATTACAAAAAGAAAAGGGAAAGTAAAGTGGAAACGTAGGTAAATATTAAGGCAAAGATAATGTTAATTAGCAAATTCACAGTTCATGGGAAAGAAATGAATGTGATAGTTTTGTTTTTCTGAGCTCAAAAAGAAATAAAGATGGACATTGAGCTTGAGAAGTATATTCTACGGAGAAAGGTAATAACAAAATTTAGACAAGTGACAAGTCCTGTGAGGCTGGCAAACTGAGAAAACAAGAACAACTTACATTTCTGAAAATATCTTTATTGCTAGTAGGGTAATGTAACAGAATATTGTTATTTGGTAATGCCCAGCAAAGCAATTCCGAGATCGATAGATGCCTAGCGTACTTAAGACGGAGTTACTCTTGAGTGTCTTTCTCACATTTCCCTGCTCCCCTGGACTAAGGAATCTTTTATGTAATGGCTTTAGTCTTCCTCTATGTTCCCAAGATCTGTTAGGCATTCCATCATAACAAGATCATGAAGCATCAGGTTATTTCAAAGACAACAAATATCAGAATGACTAAAGTATCCATTTTCATGTGGGTATGAAAACTAAAAAAGAGCAAGAGAAACAATTACGACACTTGAATTATGGATTTGGAGATGGTTATTAATAATATAGAGTCCTTAGGGTTCTCTGAGCTTGGTTGTTTCCTTGCAGACATTTCATTACATGACTAGGTAACAACTTTAGTGCTATTAACATTCAGTGCTATTAACATCTTCAGTGCTATTAAATATATTAGCAATATAATGGACTGCAAAAAGAATCAATCATTTGATCACATCAAAATTGACTGGTCCCCTACATTAGGGATTCAGACTATAAATAATTTGGTCAGTTAGAAAGCTAGGTAGGGTTTACGTGCATCTGGGGAGACCCGCTAGCTATCTTTTCTCTCTTCTATTTCTCAAACATAGCACAGCATTTATAAAAATAAGATGCAATGTACTTCGTTTGGCAGACCTACATGGCAAATTACCTGCCCTTATGGGTTAGCAATCAGAGAAAATACTGCCCATGTTTTGTTTCATTGTGTGTGTGTGTGCCACAATCAGTGTTGACTCTTTGTGGCCACCCTTGTGGACCCTTTCCAGGATGAAACTAATGCTTCAGCTCTTCTAATTGTGCAGTCCGTGCTACTGTAATCAAGTCCATCTACCTTTCTTTTCTGCTAGTCATCCTCATTTCTTCATTGTTTTTTTAACTGATAATTGATCCTAAAAAGCAGAAGCTATTCCCCACTTCAATGTCTTCAATGTCAGCTTTAAGGGTGGTTGTCGTCATTATTTTGGTGGTTGCTTGGACTCTTCCAACATGCTCTACATGGAGCTGCCCCTGAAGAGCATTCAGAAGCTTCAGCTGGTACAGAATGCACCTGCCTGGGTCATAAATAGTGTTGGCTACTCGGCACGTGTAACACCACTGCTTCGGGAGCTGCACTGGTTGCCGGTGTGTTTCCGGGTGCAATTCAAGGTGCTGGCCGTCACCTTTAAAGCCCTTCATGGCTGGGACTGAGTTACCTTAGGGACCATCTTTTCCCAGTTGTTTCTACTCGTCCAATCCAGTCCGGCAGGCTCCAGGTCCCGTCAGCCAAGAAATGTCAGCTGACAGGGACCAGGAGATGGGCCTTTTCTGCTGTGGCGCCTGCCCTCTGGAACATCCTCCCTCCTGAGATTAGGATGGCCCTTATCCTTTTGGCTTTTCAGAAGGCCTTGAAGACCTGGCTTTATGCCCAGGCCTGGGCCCCTGAGCATCCCCCATTTCATGGTTGTGCTGATACCGACAGTTTTTAAAGATCTCTTGGCTGTATTTATATTTATATTTTTTTGTACTGTTTTAAGTGTCAACTGTTTTTACTGTTGTTAGCCACCCAGAATCACTGGTTTAAATGGGTGGCTATACAAATTGAATGAAAAATAAATAAATAAAAATATTTAACCTCCTTTTATTAAATCATAGTCCCATTCTTTCACTGTGTTCTTGGTTAGCTACAGCTTCCATATCATTTTATTTTTCAGCTATCAGAGTAGCGTTACTAGCATAGTGCAGATTATTGATGTTCCTTCCTCCAATTTTAAAACCACACTCATCTTCCAATCCGTTTTCCATCAATATATATTCAGTATCCAAGTGGAATAAATAAGGAGAGAGTATACAAGCTTGTCTCACTCCTTTGAAAGCTGGAGCCAGTCTGTTTCATTGTGTTGTGTCCACACCCTGGCTTCTTGTCCTATGGATAGGTTTTACATGAGGCCAATGAGATGTTCTGCAATTCTCATTTTCCTAAGGACATTCCACAGATTCACACAGTTAACACAATTAAATAACTTTCTGTAGTAAATAAAGCACATGTTGACTTCATTTTTAAAACCAGACTGAACAACTGGCATTTCTCTTTCCATGTAAGGTTCTGATCTGTGCTGGATGATTCTAAGCATTTTTTGCTAGGATATTCTACAGTAGTTTGTACACTTTATTGTATTTTTGGTATTCTGATCTTTTGGCCACTCTGTTGTTCTCCAGATCGTCTCACATAGTTTGGTTAGAACCTTTACTGTGTCTAATATGGATGAAATAGAAGGGTAAGCCAAGTTTTAACTACAGGGTTTGGATTTCAATTTGCGTTCAATGCAGTCGTCTTTTTGTCTCTTTTCCTAGAACTAAAGCTCCTTTATGTCACAGGGACTGACTCAGGTATACTGGCCATTAACTTCCACTTAAAATGAGATTCTAACAATACAGTAGAGTAACTTGTTACTTTACTGAAGAATTCTGTGACTAAATAAAATGCAGTCAGTTAAAATGATGAAAAGATGTATTGCTGACACACACACCGACTTGTGTGGCTTCTTTTTCAAAGGAAAGAATTTAGACAAGAAAAAAGGGTCCCACCCATTACTATATTTACCAAAGAATGGTCTGACAAACAGGTCAGGACATGATACTATATTTAAAAATATTCCAAATACAAGACTTGTTAAACTCCTTTATCCAAAATTATGAGGTTACAAAAGAAAACTTAAAATGATTTTTTTAAAAAAATGCTATATATGTATTTATATATACAGACATACACACGTACACAGCACTCAAGTCAAACAGACTTTTCCAAATAATTCTATTTCATGCAGAATCATACCAACACCAACATGGAAAACATTTTTAAACTGATAGCAATACCAGAACAGCTAGTGTTCTGTTTCACCTGCTGCGTCTTCCTGAATGCTTAAAGACTACTGCAACCAACTCTGGAAAATAATGGAAGCAATTCAGTTTCCCAGACAGAAATATTAGGAGTTATTTTCCAAAATATTCCACAGACCTTAGTCAAAAGTTGGAATATAATATAAACTACAGTTTCTCTATATATACAATATACCCCACACATACAGTTAAAGAAAGCAGAAATTATTTTTTCAATATTAATAAATCATTTTTATGGTCAAGGATTAAGATAGTGCAAAGCATAATGTGTTATCTAAATCTTTAATCCATTTATTAGCTTT